GACGTCTCCGTGGCCGTCCTGCTCAACACCTGCATCGTCCACTACCGGCACCAGGAGTTCTGCCACTGGGCAGCCATGCTGGCCGCAGCCGAGCGCAGCCCCGCCTGGCCCCTCTCGGCCCAGCACAGCCCCCCCGGCCCCAGGTGAGTGGGCGCCGCCTCCCGCCACCCTCGCAGGGGGAACGCGGCGGGCGAGAGGCTGGGGAGTCCTCCACTTAACGACCACAGCGCAGCCCAAAACTCCCGTCGCTAAGCGAGGCCGTTTTGCCCCATCTTAGGAGCCTCCTTGCCACCCTTGCTACACTTGTAAGTCGGTTGTTAAGCGAATCCTGCTGCCCCGCCCCCTGTTGGCTCTTGCTTGTCAGAAGGTCGCAAAAGGGGGACACAGCGACCGTCAGAACTGTGAGCCGGTTGCCGAGTGTCTGAATTTGGATCACGCGACCAAAATTGGGGAGGCTGCGACTGTCGTAGCTCTGAAACACGGTCCTAAGTCCCTTTTTTCAGGGCCGTTGTGACGTTGGATCGTCACTAAATGAACTGTCATAAGTCGAGGACTCCCTGTAGCTGCTTTGCAGTGCCTTCTGGATGGAGCTGCTCAGGATGCGCCCCCCTCCCCCGTCTCTAGGCCGCCACCTGGCGCCGTATACAGGCAGTCCTCGGCTTACGAGCATTCGTTTAGCGACCGTTCGAAGGTACAAAAGCGGCTTACGATCAGTTTTCACCCTTACGGCCGTTGCAGCCTCCCCAGGGTCACGTGATCAAAATTCAGACGCTGTGGCAACTAACTCCTATTTATGACGGTCGCAGCATCCTGGGGACTCGTGATTTCCTTTTGCGACCATCCGGCAAGCAAAGCCCACGGGTTAAGCCGGTTTGGCTGAACAAATTCAACAACTTCAGTGATTCACTTAACAACACTTGTAGGAAAGGTCGACAAATGGAGTAAACGTCTCGCTTAACAACAAAAGTTTGGGGCTCAATTGTGGTCGTAAGCCGAGGACTTACCTGCTGTAAAGGTTTTTTCTTTCAAAGTCTGGCTGGTTTTCAAACTCAAAACTTCGCGGAGAAGGGAGCGATCCAGGTTTCCGACCGACCGGCAGGAGCCGGCCGGTTGGCCTGCATTCCGGGCCGCAACTGGAAACAGGCCGGACCGGCCGGGTGGGGTCCGAGGGGCGGGTCAAAGCCGGTTCTGAGCAGCCAGAATTTTGCCCCCTGTCCCACCCAGAAGGGTCTAAGGGTCGTGTCGAAGAAATGGTGGAAGAGAACCATTAAAAAAAAAAAAAGCATGCAAAATGACAAAACGGATGACAAAATTAAATTATTTTTAAATAATTAAATTGAATTGTTGATTTGGCCCGTGGCAAGTTTGGCCCCTTCCACACCCAGCAGGTCACTGACGCCCGTAGCTGAAGCTGGGAGAGTTCTGCAGAAAAGCACCTTTCAAAAGTTTGTTTATGTCTCTGTGTGTGTGTGTGTGTGTGTGTGTGTGTGTTTGTGGAGGGGGGAGGCTTGATCAAGAAAAATGACATTCCCACCCAATTCCCTCAGGAAGGAAGGGTCAGGGCCCCTCTGCACATGAATCCCAGAGGTCTGAGGACATCCTAAACCAGGGTTTCCAATGTTGGCCCCTTTAGGACTTGTGGACGTCAACTCCCAGAATTCCCCAGCCAGCATAGCTGGCTGGGGAATTCTGGGAGTTGACGTCCACAAGTCTTAAAGTGGCCACAGTTAGAGACAGGCTGAGGGATTCTGGGAGTTGAGGTCCACGAGTCTTAAAGTGGCCATGGTTGGAGACTGGCTGAGGGATTCTGGGAGTTGAGGTCCATGAGTCTTAAAGCGGCCACTGCTGTGCTGGCTGGGGAATTCTGGGAGTTGAATTCCAGAAGTCTTAAAGGGATCTTGGAGTTGAGGTCCACGAGTCTTAAAGTGGCCATGGTTGCAGACTGGCTGAGGGATTCTGNCGACGCCTGCCTGGCCGAGCTCTCCCTGGCGCTCTCCGTCTCGCTGGACGTCAGCCTGGCCAAGCCGCAGCTGCAGAGCGTGGCCCTGGGGGTCTGGGGGCTGCACGCCGAGCTGCACGAGGGGCTCTTCCACAGCGAGCTGCTGCGGCGCATGGGCGGCCGTCCCGGGAAGGGGGCAGGTGAGGACCCCAGGGACCCTCGAGGCAGGAGTGGGTGGGCTGTGGGCCACGCAGCAGCAGCTCCCCTGGCTGAGCGTGCCCCTTTCCTCCCAGCGGGCGCTGCTCTTCCAAGGCCAGGGGGCCGGTGCCCTCGGCTTCTCTGGTGCCCGCCGGGGGTCAGGTGGGCAGGCCGTTCAGACAGGTCAAAGGGGGGCAGGGGGGCTGCTTTGCCCCACATATCTGGGTCAGTCGGCTGGCGCTTGGGTCTTAACCGCCGATCAGTTGCTTAATCCACCTCCTGACTGGGCATCCTTTGCTGGTGCCCAGACGAACGCTTGGGGGGGGTGTGTCTGGGCTGTCTCCTCTCCCGCCCCTCTGCTTCACGGGGCCCTGGGGGCTCTCTTCCCCCTCCTGCTGACCCCCAGATTCCCCAAAGGCCCTCGGTCTGGGCCTGGCCGGCCTGAAGTACCTGCCCTCGCGGCTGAAGGTGGATCTGGAGAACAGCAGCCTGGTCCTCTCCATGAACAGCCAGAAGAGGTAAGGGGCTGGCGGGTGAGGAGGGGGTCCGCTCTGCAGGCCTGGCCTTGGCCCTCCAACCCCCGTGCCTGCAGGGGGCGCCCCCGAGTTGCCCCGAGAGAGCAAGCAGGGGCTATACACTCCGGAGGACTTTGGGGACCCCCACCCACCCCCACCCCAGGAGAGGCCGGACTTGGTTGGAGGCAGCTTCCGTCTCGCCCCCCCCCCCTGCAGGCACCTCAGCTGGACCCTGAAGCTGCTGCATTTCGCCCACCAGTGCGACGAGGAGCAGATCCCCCTGCGCAGCTTCACCCCCACCTGCGACCTGCCCCAGATGAGCGTCGAGCTGGTGCTGGAAGGCAAGTCGGAGGGGGGGTCTCTGGGGGGGGAGGCTGTTGGCCTGCCCTGCCCCAAACGAGCCGGTCCCGCTGGCCCAGAGGAAGGGGCGCAGGGAGCCCAGGGCAGGAAGGCCGTGGAAGGGGGGATCCCTGGCTCCCTTCGAAGGAGGGAGGGGCTGCCTGCTGCCTTTTGGGTGGGAGCTGATTTCTCCCCCCCAGAAATTGGTCGGTTTAGGGGTGGGGGGGTGGGGGCGTTCTTGGTCCACAAGCGCCTGAAAGCCCCTTCC